AAAAGAAAAGAATTTCTTTTAGAATATTCATAAACTGCTATTATGCAATTATTTAGAATTATTCTTATAAGCTTTAAGTTTTACATGCATTTAGAACCTTTGCTCATAATGTATATGTTATTAAAGTTTCGCCCCCTGTTGTTGAGACTCACTGAGTACAGTGGATGGTACTGACGTTCTCTTTTGGGAACCTACGTTGGTCTGCGGTACAACGTAGGAACCGGACTTGCAGGCGAGCAGGCTACGAGTTAGGACTTCCTTCTCTTCCAGTGCTATTGGTGAGCTCCGCTTTTGTTCGTGGAATATTCCTTAGCGTCATCTTTATTTAGTTATTTCTTTGTTTACTTAGAGAACTGTCTAGGAAATCTCATGTCCTGAGCAGCGCGTTAGTTTATTAGTAGAGGCTTCATAGACATAGTCGTTGGGTTAAGATTTAGATGTTTTTTTATAATAACTTAGTAGTATTTCATTGATTACTATGAATAAAGTTTTGGATTTGATTTATTTAAATGCTTAAATTAAACAAAAGTATTTGGTTAGAGTATTGGCTTGTTGCATATAAAGTTTAGAGTTATAATAGATTTGATAAGCAGAGATGGTTCGCTCGGTCATGTTTAGTGATCGAGTGCCGGTCCTGGCTTGTTCAGAAAATGGGTCGTGACATAATCCTTTTAGGAGTCTTTTTCCATTCCTTCAAGAAAGAGAGTCCTAATAGATTAGAAATACAGGGCAATTCCTAACACAGCTTTCCTGTTTCCTCGCAAACAGATAATTAACAATTAGCAAACTAATAAAGTCATGAGACCATTGTTTTCAATTTTTCAAGCTAGACTTCTGCACATATATATGTTCTTCCCATAAATGTACTACTCCTAAATATAAGTTGTGACCGTATAGTCCGCAATTATTATCATCTTAATAGCCAGAGTAGAGCAATGGTAACGGGTTATATTTGTTATACAACTCATGAACAAACATTCTTAACTCCCCACTATAAATCCTAAACCACATAGTTAGAGGCGGATCCGTAATTTAAACGTTATGGGTTCAACCTTTATGTTATTTGTGGCTTGAATTATTTCCTTGTATTTGTAGAAAACCCATAATCCCTATAGGTTTAGGAGAACTCATTGTCCTAATAGATTTGGGAAAGGAAAACCTATAGTCCTTGTCAAATTGGGAAATCTTTCTTTTATATGTTTGGGACCTTTTGGGATCTATATATAGGGGTTGTAATTGGGGATTCTATAGATTGTATACTGTGATTTTCTTCTCATTCATAGTGGAAAATTCTCTCTACTTTTGCCCCGAGGATTAGGCTTAGCCGAACCTCGTTAAATCCTTGTCTTGATTTTTCTTCTCTATTTGCTTTGTGTGTGATTGTGTGCTAGTTAACCCATGATATTCCGCAACAATTGGTGTCAGAGCAAGGTTCGGGCTTCTATATATAATCTAGGGTTAAGATGTCTTCATCATCTTCAATAAAGTACGAAATAGATAAATTTGACAGGGGTTCTAGTTTCAGACTATGGAAGATTAGGATGAAATCGTCCCTAGTGTTACAAGGGTTATGGAAGGCAATTGATGAGGATTTTCCTGAAGAGATGAAGGAGACAAAGAAGGCAGACCTAAAGGAGAGGGCTTTGAGTGCGATCTTCATGAGTGTTACAGATAGCGTTCTTCGGGAAATTGCTGAAGAAACTTCTGCAGCAACGGCATGGAAGAAGTTGGAAGATCTGTATTCTAAGAAATCGCTAATAAACCGCCTCTACCTGAAAAAGAGGTTATACAATCTCTGTATGAATGGAGGTACACCTGTTAAAACTCATATTGATGAGTTTAATTCAATTATAATGGACCTGAAGAATGTGGATATCAAAATTGAGAGTGAGGATCAGGCCTTGATTGTGCTATGTTCTTCACCACCGTCTTATGATACTTTTGCCGATACGCTGCTATATGGGAAAGACAACATTTCACTAGAAGATGTTAGTAATGCACTAAAATCTAAAGAGTTGAAAAAGAGCTTTCCAGACAGCAGAATTGAGGGCGAGGGTCTTGTGATTAGAGGAAGAACACAACAAAAGGATTTTAACAGGAAAAAGTCAACCGCCAGATCAAAGTCTAGAGCAAGGAAACAACACTGTTATGAGTGCGGGGAGCAAGGTCACTACAAGAGAGATTGTCCTAAGCTGAAGGAGAAAAGAGGAAAGCAAAAATAGATAATTCGGCAAATATTGTTAACACTGGAAATAATTCTGATGATAGTGACTATGTAGGGAAAGTCTGTGCTGTGAGTTCTAGTCATGGGCAGAATTCTTGGGTTCTTGATTCTGGTGCTACTTCCCACATGTGTCCACACAAGAATTGGTTTGCAACTCACAAGCAAATGAGTGGGACTGTCTATATTGGATATGATAATCCATTACCAGTAGAGGGGGTTGGTAACATCAAATTGAGAATGTTCGGCGGAATTATTAGAAACATTGAGTGTTGGCATGTTCCTCGGATAAAGAGAAATTTGATTTCTCTTTCGACTTTGGATGATCAAGGGTATAAATTTCACTCCGAGAATGGAATTGAAGTGTATAAAGGCTCCATGGTACTCATAAAGGGTAAACTACATTCTAAATTGTATCATCTTCAGGCCAGTGTAGTTGAAGGGGAAGCTGTTGTAGCTTCTGGGAAAAGTGAATCAGCCTCAGTTGTGGCACTTGCGACTTGGCCATATGAGTGATAATGGATTGTCTTTGTTGAGTAAGCAGGCTTTGCTGAATGGGTACAAAGATCAAGTTTTGAATTTTTGTGAGCATTGTGTGTTTGGTAAACAGACAAGGGTAAAGTTCATCAAGAAGGCCGAGCACAAGACCAGAGACAAGTTAGATTATATACACTCTGACTTGTGGGGTCCAACCAGAGTTCCCTCCAAGAGTGGTTCCAGGTATTTTATGACTTTGATTGATGATTACTCAAGGATGATGTGGGTGTATTTTCTGAAAATAAAAGATGAGGCATTTTCGACATTTGTTAAATGAAAGATGATGGTTGAGAGGCAGACAGAACGAAAAGTTAAGCGTTTTTGAACTGATAGTGGGTTGGAATTTTGCAATTTGAGTTTGATAATTTCTGCAGCAGGGAGGGCATAGTGAGACACCGCACTTATGTCGGAACACCACAACAAAATGGTGTTGCAGAACGTATGAATAGAACGCTTTGTGATAGGACACGAAGCATGCTTTCACACTCATGTGTTAGCAAAGATTTTTGGGCTGAAGCAATCAATACAGCTTGTTATTTGGTCAACAGATCTCCATCCACAGCTATTGAGTTTAAAACTCCTTTTGAGGTATGGTCCAGTTCGCCTGCTGATTATTCAAATTTCAGGATATTTGGTTGTCCTGCTTATGCTCATGTGAGGGATGGAAAGCTTGAGCCGAGGGCAAAGAAGTGCATATTTCTAGGGTATGCAACTGGAGTGAAAGGTTATAGGTTGTGGTGCACAGATCAAAAGACTCCAGGGCTAATTATCAGTAGGGATGTAACATTCAATGAATCTGCCTCACTGAACAGTCAGAGGGAGAAGGCAATAGCAGAAACAGATCGTGGTGTCAGTGACCGCATAGAGCTAGAAATTGAATCTCCACTAGCTCAGCCTAGTAGTTCTAAAGCAGAGGAAGTGGAGGAGGTGCAAAATATTGAGCAAAATGATAATATTGATGCATCTGCGCAACAACAACCATATAGCATTGCAACAGGCAGAGAGAAGAGAGTGATCAACCGACCGCAAGGATTTGCAAACATAGTTGATGAGAATCTTCTTGGATATACGAACCCAGTGGGATTTGCTTTGGCAGTTGTAGAGACCGTTGATGCATTTGAGTGTTATAGCTACTCAGAAGCTATTCAGAATACAGAACCAAATCGACGGATTAGTGCTATGGCTAAAAAGATTGAGTCTCTCAACAAGTTTAGACATTGCCTAGACTTGGTTGATGTGTGCAGCAACGGATAGAGCCCTTGCGAGGGCTGAGGGCAAGGTAGAGAGACGTTGTTCCTGTTGATGAAGAGAATTCAAGCCAAGGGGAAGATTTGTTATTTTTTACTTGAATTATTTCCTTGTATTTGTAGGAAACCCATAATCCCTATAGGTTTAAGAAAACACATTGTCCTAATAGATTCGGGAAAGGAAAACCTATAATCCTTGTCAAATTGGGAAACCTTTCTTTTATATGTTTGGAACCTTTTGGGATCTATATATAGGGGTTGTAATGGGGATATAGATTGTACTGTGCTTTTCTTCTCATTCATAGTGAAAAACTCTCTCTGCTTTTGCCCCGATGATTAGGCTTAGCCGACCTCGTTAAATTCTTGTGTTGATTTTTCTTCTCTAATTTGCTTTGTGTGTGATTGTGTGCTAATTAACCCACGATATTCCGGAACACTTTAAAAAGTTTTATATTTATAAAGTTATAAGTTCATATCTATCATTTATTGCAATTTTGTGAAGTTTTATATATATGTTCAACGTCGAAAGTAATGGGTTCAATTGAACTCATCCCTATATATAGTGGTACATCCGCCCCTGCACATAGTTATACACACTTTCGCAGATGCGCACACACAGAAACTCATCTATATATATACACTAGGTGGATATAGACTCGTGCCAGCACGGGCCCAATATTCTAGAAGTTAAAATTTTATTTGTGATTAACTTAATTTTAATATAAAGTTGCAGATAATAAAATCATATATTTGGAGAATATAATAAACTAATATGAAATGCATAGATGCGGTCAGCTTTCTTGTATACCAAACAAGTCGAAAATGCAGTGTTGGAATGGAAACATCTGGGAGCAGAAGTATAGGAAGAGATTTAGGTAGAGGTAGCAAATAAAAAATAGTAAAATAATTCGTAGTTCTTATTAAAAGAGGTTCAAGCACTTGGAGTAGATATAGATACATCAGACTAGATTGAATAGTGAAGTTGTCAAACTGTCAAAGCCCATTGATCCTCTATAATCTGACAGGCTATTATTGAGCGAGACAATCTCAACAACTGAGGCAGAAAAACGTAATAACGGGAAGTTAGTGTAAGTTATCGGAACAACATGATCTCTAGCTAACAAAATACAGGCAAACACAAGAAACAACAACAAGAGACCCTCTCCACAGCTTCCATTTCAAGTTGTTTGAGCTTAATTCTTTCTAAGTAGGGATGGAGGTTAAAGATTGAACAAAGTACAGATTTAGAGCAATAATCTCATATTCAATAGAAAAATAACACCAGCACAATTCCTTTGCACAACTTTGCTTGCTGTCTGAGTGTATAAGATGTTCCTCATTCCAAAGCGCATGTGTCTACTCTGACAAGCATCCTCGAAGGCTCAGTACCACAATAGTGATAAGCTAAGAGACAAAAAGAGCATATTATCTGTTGAAAAATTCTGGATTTTGCAAGGATTCCAAGGTCAAATTTACATAAATGAGGGTATACACAAGCAGCTTATCAATGACAGGATTTTGAAGGGACACGACATAATTTAAGATTTTAAATGAAGACGTACATGATAAAGTCGTATATATTTCAAAACAAAGGTGCCTCAAGATCTGAAGATAAATTATATTTCGCTCCAGTAGTCTGAAATATAAAAATCTATTACCCAAGAATTTTTTTTTTCCTTAACACCAGTTCTCCAAATTGAGAGCAGATTGTATAATTAAGAGCATAAAAAAAGTCACACCAGTTTAAGTTGTATTAAAAGTGAGCATAGATTTAATTCTTGACTACTTAAGCGATTCTCAAGCACCAATAGGTTCCGGAATGTTATTATTTGTGTTGCAGTTGATTGGTAAGGTCATTGAAAATCATATAAAGATTTTCATGTGATAACTCAGATGCAATAAATTGTACTTTTTCGCTGTATTCAAATCAATAACAACCCGCTTCCAAACCCATATTTATTATATTTCCTTACTTGAGATGTAGTAGATTCTCTTACTCGAAGCTGTAACGATATAGAACACAACTCAAGAAAAAAGAATATGACTTAAAAATAAACAGTGAGAGCAAGCATAAGTATAATAAAGTCAAAAGCCAAACAACTGTAATATCACAAAGTGCAACGAAAGAAAAGCAGCACCAAATCAGATAGATAACAAAATTATGAATCGCTTTCAGAACCCTATACAGAAGAAATCAAATATTTATGGCATTAAAAAGAAGAAATAATTGTCTTACTTCATGTGCATTCACTTCTGCAACTTATCTCCAAAAACAACTTTGAAGCCTTAACTGCTAAAGCATTCCCAGCATACTCGTAAATTATAGCTGCATAGATTATCACCATGACTTTATGATTTATGTTTATTTTTTTCTGTTCACTGCACAAACAAAATAGGGGTTATTTTACAAAAGATGCATCGATATATAACCAGTTCTAAATCATAGGTCCAGAAAATTTAAATTTAGACATAGCTAGTTGTTCCTCCTTTTGTTATAGCTGAAATGATATTCCAGGGAAGGTGTGCAATTCAATAGTAAGGGACATAATAGTTTCGAGGAATAAACAGCAAGTGAGATACATATATTTATCAAAAGCACTGCTTATTTATGCTCTATGTTTCATTGTATAACAATTGGCCTCATTGTCAGTGCAAGCCATCTGGGGCTGCAATCAGTCCTAACAACAGCATCCTCCAAAATCTCTATAAAATGCAGGAAAGTTTCTTTACTTCTGGAATTAAGGGAAGTCAATTTTAAATTGATGATTTTCAACAATAAAGTGTAGGAAAGAAAGACCAATACTTTTTAAATAAACAACAAGATCACATCAGGCTCTTATTGAATATTTTGTAACACTAAGTATGTATCAGTGTAGACAACTCATCAGTTTTCCGCTCCCTCTTTAACCATGTTTAATAATGTACTACTTTCATTAATTATTATTTCTGTAAAACTTATTTTACCATATTGCCTAAAGCATAAGCATAGATTGTCTACAAGTTCTTATGATAACATATTGCAGCTGCATAGTTTCACTTTGCTAATTCTATGCATCAATTTGTAGGAGCACAAATAGTAATACATTTCGATTAAAGATCTCTTAACATTAAAGTCACGTAAACAAAACAGGTGCTACACCACCTTTTTCTAGTATTAAACTGCAGCTTGTTAATAGACTGATGTTTGTTACCAGAGGGATGGAAAAAATTACCACAAGAGCAGAATTTCTAAAACGTCTAAGAGTGACATAAACATGATCAGGTGAATAAATCAATTTAATATCTGCAGACTTATATTCATTGGTGGTGCACAGAAGGTGTTGTATTTAAGATCAAAAGCAGTTAACCATCTTTTAGGAAAAAGAAGTACAATACTTATAAAATGGAGGATAGACAACTCTCCAATACCAAGTTTTCAGACACATGGCGTAAAATGACATCTAAGGAATACATGATCGACGATTCATTGTTTTGGTTCGTAACAACATATATCACAGATTCTTAAAAGATTTTCTGTTTTTCTTTTTGGTTTTAGAGCACATATATTAAGAACTCTTAGAGATTCATTTAACTTTTGAAATCTAACCTGCAATATTAGCAGCAAAAGTATCTTTTTCAAGTAGCATAACCAAAGTGGAAATGGTATCTGCATGCAACTATATGTAAGGACCAAGGATAACATCATTTAAATAAATTGATTATAATCTCACATAGCCTGAGAATATGAAAATGAAGTTTAACTTGAGATACTGGTGTTAATCCAACCTGCTAATTTCAAAGAAAATTTGATGATTACCATCATAAACAACAACAACAGCAATAACAAACCCAAAAGTTCCCCACAAGTGGGCTCTGGGGAGGGTAAGATGTACGCAGCCTTACCCCTACTCCTGGAAGGGCAGAGAGGCTGTTTTCGATAGACCCTCGGCTAGAGAACGACTGAAAAAGAAAAGGTAATTTCAACAAGTAGGAATAACAGCAAGATGAAATAAGATTTGAAATTGCTCGGGGATTAGTATGGCGCAACTGTACTTTGTAATATACCAAGTATAAGTAGTGAATGAAAGTGAAAAATGAAAAATAAGTAATTGCTATCAGCAAACAGCCAGTTGAGTGGATAACTACCTTAAAGAAGCAATTCTTGTTATTCTTATTCTTATTCTTTCTTAGTTGAAGTTCCTATATTGGTTGTTTTCTTTCTTTTATGAATGTTACAACTCCTATTTATCTGGTAACAGACCTTATTGATAGTCGATGTTGTTGCCCCTATGTATTAAGCCAACTATACTCAACTATACGACTATTGTGATTGCGAGAGAAAGGAGAAGTGGCCCTTTCTATACCATCCGGTGGTTGAAACCAACATAAGCAATAGGAAATAAATAGTACTGAGAAAATCATCTATATTTAGAAACCGCACCAGCACAAAATTCATCATCTATTATGAAATTGTTATAAATATATTATATTATGGATATTTATTTAGTACTCCGTTGTAAATAAGCTTCCTGAAGAAGCTTATCCATATGGGAATCCGCCGTAAATATGTTTATCTATTGAGTACTCTAATGGAAATAAGCTTCCTAAAGAAGCTTATCACTTCGGCACCGGTTATGGATAAACATTACCCCCGGTAGAAGATTATCCATAACGGGTATAATAAGCTTATCACTTCGGTACTCGGTTATAGATAAACATTACCCCTGGTAGAAGATTATCCATACCAGGTACAATGAGCTTATCCTTTCAGTACTCCGTTATGGATAATCATTGCCCCTAGTAGAAGATTATCCATATCTGGTATAATAGCAGCTTACACAGCAGTTTGCAGTAGCAGCTCACACAGCAGCTTGCAGTAGTAGCTCACACAGCAGCTTGCAGTCTTCTATAAATAGAAGAGATTTCAGTTCATTACGTACATCAGTTTGAATTCGAATAATATATCAGATTCTCTCTATACCTGTCTTTACTTTATAGTCTTTATTTTATAACACGTTATCAGCACGAAACTCTAACTAACTGAGTGTAAAAATGAGCTCGAAGCTGAAAAAAAGGCTATTACTAAAACAAAGAAAAGCAAGTCAGTTGGAGCCGCAATTAGAAATTAGGCAAAAGCGAAGAAGGGGAATTAAAGAGAGTGAAGAATTGAAAAGCGGAAGTGAGAGCGAGAACCTCGCGCGGAGAACAAACAATCAATTTGCAGAATCTTTGGCAAAGCACACATGATGGAAAAACAACTAATCTTTGTTGTTGAAGGCACTGCCCCGTGGGACCTTTTTGGCAAACAATCATTTCTGTTTATCTCGACAAAATGATACGTGTAAGGCGATGCTCTTAGGTCCGTGGTTAGTTCTTGTTCATTCCTAGCATCATAAAGTATATTATATCGTTGAGGTGGTGAGTTTTTCTTCTTGGCAGTAGTAATTGCTTATATTTTGTTTAATATCTTTATCATCGCTTGCTTGGTTATATGCTATGTATACAGTACCTATTTTGATATTTTTTGTCCGTATTATCTTAATAAAGGGTTACAAAGTGGATAACATCGTTAGATCCACTTAAACTCCAGGAGAGTTTGCAAGAAATATACAACCACCAGAAGTGGTTATATTTTGTATATCTCATTATAACTAAATTTTGTTAACCACCAGAAGTGGTATATGCCTATGACCACCAGAAGTGATAATTTAGGCTTGCTAGGGTTACAATGAAGATAAGTTAGAGAAAATTTCTCTATATTACATACTTACCTCGATTTGCTCCTGAAGTAGCAAATATATTAAAAGAGGTCAGACGCAATCACAATTTAATGTGGTTATTGCACGTTCAGATAATTATGTTCCCTCCCCTGAAGGATGAGAATTTTTGATAAATATTAATCCATTCCCTGAAGTAAATGTGATAATATTAATAAAATATGAACGCGCTCTTGATGTAAATATATTACAATTCACCTCCAGAAGAGGTAATATGATTGGGAGAATATATATTCAATATTTCGTATTTTAAATTTGCTCCTGAAGTAGTAAAACAATTGAGTTTTCTCCTGAAGTAGGAAAATATTATGAAACTGTGTCTTTCTGTGCTTAAATAAAATAATAAACTATTCAAAGTTATTTTTGAAGCACATTTTCATTCCCTGGAGTGAATGAAGAAATTCCACAACTCACCTCCTGCAAAGCTGGAATAACAGAGGATATAAATATTATTTTTGTGGCACAAGATCATTACCGCACGTACCTGTTGTACGTAAAACATCTTGGATAATTTTTTTAAGTATCATTCTAATGCAAAAGCATTCTTGTAGAATGCTTTCTACTACAACCACATTAATATGTTATGGTTGGTTATCGAGTTCCCCGAAGGAAATAACAACTCATGTATCTTTCCCTGAAGGATGTAATGACTATGTAGTTTCTCGAATTTGATATAAAATATTCAGATGTTAATGGTGTTTCTCCCTGAAGGAGATATTTGTCACAAAGTTGGTGGTAGAAACACTGAAATTCTTAATCTTTTACATTTATAAATTTAGTATTGTCTTTCTATTATTCATTTGTTTATAATTTTCTCTCATGACACCAGAAATGTCTGAGCAATATTTGGTAGTACAAAATTTATCAAAAGTTCCTGAAGAGCTAACTGTTTGTCTAGAAGACACATGACACTGGTAGTGTCCGATAAATATTAGATTGTGGACAATTTGAAGGCTCTCGAAGAGCTTATGTACAAATATGTCATTCATATTATATGATTATGGTCAAAATATATGTTGTAGTAAACCTGAAGTTTACTAATACAAATGGCTATCATATTGAGATTACAAATGATTGGAAGATTGATAATCTTCATGTTTCCACAATCATAGGGGGTAAAATATAATATGTATGTGAGATGTTACCCGCCTTGTTCTTTAATTTGTACTATATCATGTATCACAGTAAATCCGAAGTTTACTAAAGCAAAAGCAGTCACAGTAAATCAAAAGTTTTACGGAGGCAAAAGTAGCTACAGTAAATTAGAAATTCGCTGATACAAAAGTAGCCACAATAAATCAGAAGTTTACTAATGCAAAAGATTATGCCATAGTAAACCAGAACTTTACTAAGAGATAGCACATGCCATGATAAACTTGAAGTTTTCATTTGCCATTTTTAAATGAGCTATTTGAGAATTCAGATAAGCATAAACTGAAGAACTAGAAGATTCTTCAGGAATTCTCATGTGTTGCTTGTTCTCATAATAAATTGATTATACCAGCTAAAGTTGGTACTAAGACCCCTAATTCTGAAATATATAAAAGGTGAATATGGGCCCGTTCACCTATCATGTGAACCACTTATAGATGCATATATCAGATGGTTACATGTGTAATTATTGTCAACCTGCAGTTTGGCATTTGGAATTGCTTTTCTCGATTAAGAGCATAATTTTCAAATTATGAAATCAAGACAGTTCATCTTGATAATGCTGGTTTATATCCAAGCTGGTTTAGCATTGAATACCTCCTATTAATGGCTAAACCATTGCTGATGAGAACAAAGTTTCATGTGTTGGTCTAAGATTTTCTAAATTGCATATAGCAGCACTTGTATGCATCAGACCAACAATATATGATAAGTCCTCCCTTTACAATTGGTTTAGGATCAGAAACCAAATATTTTTAAAATCTATTGTTGCGTGGTATATGATTAATTTCTCTACCATAATACACAAAGATATGTTTCCTAAAGATGATTGGGGATATATGTTATGTGACGACCCAAAGGGTCATCACCGGATTTCTCCCTTTTCCGTGATTCCGAGACCTTGGAAACCTTATTTTTGCTTGCCTCGATTTGCGTGCGCAGTCCGGGCGCGTAGCCGGAAAGCTTATATGTTAAATTCTGTGAAAAATTTCAAAATGTGGCTTTAAAATAATTAAAGTTGACTTTGGTCAACATTTTTGGTAAACGGACCCGGACCCGTGATTTGACTGTCCCGGAGGGTCCGTAGAAAAATATGAGACTCGGGCATATGCCCGAAGTCGAATTTCGAGGTCGAGAGCCCGAGAAATGAATTTTTCTGTGAAATTGTTTTTCTGAAATTATTAAGGAAAATGGAAATAAAAATTGATTAAAAGACTATGGTATCGGGCTCGTATTTTGGTTCCGACGCCCGGTACAAGTCTTCAATATGAGTTAAGCGCTTTCTGTAAAGTTTGGTCGAAATCGGACGTCATTTGACGTGTATAAATATCTAAAATTTGAAATTATGAACTTGAAATGAAAAATGATGATTTTGAGGTTTGATTCATTGATTTTGATGTTATTTTGGCGATTTGATCGCTCGACTAAGTTCGTAGGATGTTATTGAGTTAGTGTGTGTGTTTGGTTGGGAGCCCCGAGGGCTCGGGAGTGATTCGGAGGTGGTTCGGGGTAGTTTTACACTTAGAAAACACATCAGATTTTTCATGTTGTTGCAGACCAGATTTTGTTCTTCGCGAACGCAGCCCCTCCCCCCTTCGCGTTCGCATAGCTCTGACATTTCTCCTTCCGCGTTCGCGTCCCTCCATCGCGTTCGCATAGCTTTATACCCCTCTTCAACGCGTTCGCATACCTCCCCTCGCGAACGCGTAGGCCAAACCTGGACCCCCCCCCCCCCAGTTTCCTTATATGCGTTCGCATAGCACCATCGCGAACGCATAGAGCATCAAACCAGCCCTCCTTCGCGAACGCGAGTCTGAGTCGCGAACGCATAGAACAAAAAGGCTTCAGTGATTTTTTTAAAACAGAACATTTCATTACGGGAATTCTTCTCACGAGCTCTCTTCTCCATCAAGCCTTAGGACTCCATTGAAGCTCCCCTCTTCCAAGACTTTTTGGGTAAGTAATTCCCCACCAAATTCCTTCATTTTTCTTCACTAGTT